GGATATTGAAAGAATTCTATGTGCCGCTGAATCCATCGATTATTTTAAATACTATTGTCAAATGTTAAAGAAGATAGTGGGTACTGCTGGCATTTTTTATTACACTCCGGGGAAAAAAATGTGGGGTGGGGGTTGAAATCGCTTTTAGGACAAGCTGGAGTGCCATACCTGAGTCAAAATATTTAATTAGCGATTGAATAAGTAACCAACGCGAAAGGTCCTAGTGAATCGTGATAGTTAGAAACATCATATAAAGGCGAACAAAAAAACACATATCACTATTCTGACATCTATAAATCTATCTATAGAAAGATACAATGTCATTTTTTTGTTTTGGTTGAGGGGGGGGGGGGGGTATTTTTACTTCTATCATATGATTTAATCTCATGGTATAACAAAAATGGGAACTGATCGATAAAATTACGTTTCAATTTTATCACTCTTTTCTCGGTATTAATGCCTTGATAAAGGCGAACAAAAAAACACATATCACTATTCTGACATCTATAAATCTATCTATAGAAAGATACAATGTCATTTTTTTGTTTTGGTTGAGGGGGGGGGGGGAGTATTTTTACTTCTATCATATGATTTAATCTCATAGTATAACAAAAATGGGAACTGATCGATAAAATTACGTTTCCATTTTATCACTCTTCTCTCGGTATTAATGCCTTGACATCAGCGCTATGTCTGGGCTTTCTCGTTAGGTTCGTTTTTTTCTTGCCTGCAAAGGCTTCACATTTTTATAGACAGGTCTAGATTCGCACTTGCGAGACGCACATGCTATTCTCGTTATTTTATACAGCAGTTCTGGAGATAAGATCTTAGTCAAGCAAGGAGCATTTAAGATTTTCTTGGCTCCTGTCGCTGTCTTGTTCTGTATTGCAATTTTTTTTTTTTACACTGCTTTAAGCAAATACAAGACTTAAATTTACGTTCTCAACAAATTGCTTAAGACATTATTTGAACAAAGGAAAAAAAAAAAAGAGTTAGACATCATCTATCAACAAATAATTGCATTCACTCTGGACATTCAAAAATAGAAAAGGAAATACAAATTACATAAGGAATTAAAGAACGGTGGATTCTCACGTAAGATGCCACAATACAGGAAACTTTTTTTTAAAATATCAACCAACATTTTAAAAAAATTAGTACGAAACAAAAAAAATAGCACAAAAAAAAAGCAAACAACCGGAATAGACCAAGAAAAGCATAAGACCACTTGATGTAAAGGGAACGTCTAGTAGGTCAATTTCTTTGAAGATATCCTACTTTTGTACATTAATGTCTAATTTCTTTTTTTTTTTAAATGATGACACGCGCTACCTGTCAACTGCGTCAGGCCTGCACCTAGAGGGAGGGGGGGAAGGGGGTGTGGAGACTATCATGGCACTTGTCAGGGGCCCGAGCTAGATAGAGGCCCAACGTTTTAAAATATACGCACATGATTGAAACTTGAAAGGGCCCCGAACTCTGTCAGCTGCCTGGGGCCCAGAATTTCCCGGGTGTGTGGGCCTGGCTGCGTTGAGCTGTGTGTCTTTTTTTCTCCTTCTGATTTTATTTTCTCTTGTATTAATGGGTAGGTGGGCTTTAGACGGAAATATCCATTTTATTTTCTCTTGTATTATTTGGTAGGCAGGCTTTAGACGGAAATATCCATTTTTTTTTTCTTGTTTCGTTAGTCAAGATCGAACCCTTCCCTCTTTAAATATTTTTTTGCAGGTTTGGAACGCAGATTTTTGCTATTGCATCATTTATGTGCTGCCTCTAGTCTGCCTGAAGAGTTTGACTTTAGTTTCTGCTATAGTTTATTTTGTTAGGCTGCCTCTATGCTGACTAAAGAGTTTTGCGTTACTCGAAAATATCCGTTTTTAGTCTGGCGATTCCTTTGTGAATATGTGAATACATTCTGCGGGTAACAAATCCACTACATTTCGTGTAGCTCATTTTTTTACTGTACCGCCGACTAGAGACCGAGCGAAAGTGATTGTCTGATTTCGGCCGAAACCGAAACCGAAGCTGAAACCAAAACCTCAACGAGACTTTCGGGCGAAACCAAAGCAGAAATCAAAAGTTTAACTAGCCTTTCAGCCGGAAACCGGAGCCGAAACCGAAATAATTCGATATCTTTTAAAGTCGTTCACGCATACATTCTGCATACATCGAAAAATGATGGGGGGAAAGTATCAATATGTACATTCTTTGTATACAAAATGAGATCATCTTGAATGTTAATAAATAAACATCTAATGAATACTTTGGCTTTTACCATTTTAAACTGTAAGTACTTTAAATTTATTAGAAATGTATTTTATTCTAGTATGTTCAGAGAAAATTTGGACGGGTGAGGGGAAAAAGGGGGGGGGGCAAACTTCATGCAAAATAGACCCTCGAGTGCCCTTGCTGTTTTAATATAATTACACCTCTAAGTAGAGATATATCTACAATAATTAGTGTGGCTCTAATACGGCAAATTTTCATCTACATATCAGTTATTCATTCTATAAAATTATCACCAAAATGTTTCACGGTTATCGTCAGAATAATGCTTTGTGTTTTCACAAATAGCTTGCAAGATATCGCTGTATTGATATTTAGCATGGTACCAACACATTAGTCTTTCCGTGCTGGTGACGTTATTATTTCGTTCGGCGACCAAACTCCCTCACCCTCTTAAAAGTGTTGTTCTTTGGGGTCTCGTCGGAGAATCGCAAAAGACATCTAAATTCGTCGTAAAAATCATAAAAATAAACAGGTCTGCCTACTACATTCGTTTTATACGAAACCGTGATACATACACACTTGTGTTATTTCGTCCATAACAATGTTTATGAGCATGATAATGATGAATTTTAAGAAATAAATGAACTGAAATAACCTATGTTTCCTTAAAAATAATATTAGAATATTTCCATTCCCTGGGATTATTCAATATTATTCACCTTTGTCTATGACAGCATGAGCATGATAATGATATATCAAAATGAATGTCACAAAGGAATGAATTGAATAAACCTAGGGTTCCAAATTTTATTTTTGAAAAAGTTAAAAACAAAAATAATGATATAAATATTACCATTCCATTAGTTTTTCTTCCACAAAACTATTTACATTTGACTGGCTTATTTGAAATTCAATTTTTGGAAATAAAGGACAAGTAGGTCATTATGCCGCTGTGAACAGTTTTTTGCAGAGTATTAGTCATATAACATACGATGACAGCACGATGTCCAGCAATATCGAATATCGGATTTCCGGCAAGGAGACAGACAGACAGTCTGACTTCTGGTAGATGACGGAAAACCTAAATCACTTTCGGCCAGATGGCTTAAAGTCTCAATCACCTCCGGTCGAAACCGAAATTAAATTGAAAGTTAACTTTTCTGCTTCGGCCGAAACCAAAATTAAACCAAAATTTACATTTTCTGTCTAATTTAAGCCGAAAGTGATAAAATGGCAACTTTCGACGCCGAAACCGAAGCCGAAATTCGGTCGATCTCTACAGCCGACGCAACGCGAGAGTTACGCCCAAGTACACATTCAATAATTCTTTTAATATTTATTATTGATTAATTTGCTCTTAAGTCATCGATTTATCACGAAATGACACACACTCAGGATCACGGGGCGCTGCCCTCAATGAATTAATCTGATGGACCTCTACTTCACGGGTTCCATCCCTGACATGGGTAAGTTAGTTAGACCAAGTAGATTTTGCTGAAAACGGAACCGCGCAATCATCGCAAAAGTATTGTACCATATTTTTTGTTAAACAGTACCATGCCCCCCCCCCCCGCCCCCCCAAAAACTGAAATTTATTCACTGCACCCCTCTTCCAAGTGGAACTAGAGTGAGTTAGGTTGGAAGGGCCACGAACTCCTGGCATGATAGCCGAAGTCACTGCCCTTTAATCATTGTTTAATGCGTTATCAGTGAGAGTTTGCGGTACTCGAAAGTCAACATTGCATGCTCCCGTGCCGTGCGTGTACAGACGTGCTTCAGAGATATCTTAGCGTTTCAGCAGTTTCATACTTGGAATTTTCAAGCGGGTTCCTCACAACGGACTTTGGTCTGAATGAAGTAATTGACGTATCAGTTGTTTACGAGCGAGAAGTGCAAGAGCTCAACGGAGGAACGTTTAGCGTTCAACAGCGGCATGGATAGATCGCAGTCACTATAGAGCAGAAAAGGTCTATATTGCACAACTCAAATATTGTGATCAGTAATGACATACTCGCCACTAGAATGATAATCGGTGGTAGATCGCTATCCGACAATGAGAGATGAATTGATAACTGCCGGAACCACTGTCATAAATAATCTCTTCTCCTGGTCCACGATTGACGGATCACTCATTGTATAGTTAGTTATCTTGACGAGTTCTATTGATGAGTTTCTTACGGTCTTATCTAGAAGTATCAAGGCCGCTACCATCCTTATGAAAATGGGTCCCCTTCATTCGGTTTTCGATTGGTTGATAAGAGGTTTTCCAATGTCTTGTTTGATATACTTAGTCGTTTCTTATAATTTTTTTTTATATACTCGAGACGAATACTTGATAGCCATACTGCGAATATTCACTCTAGTTTTTCTTTTTTAATAAACAAAAAAATGAATGTACATGAAACGTTACATCAATAGTAATAAGCTTAATTTTAATACCTGTAAAAATGAAGTCATTGACTACTTCTACTTGTAAAGATATTTGGGAGCATTTCTAGGGTGTGTGCAGCTGTAGTCAGCCAGTATTGTAGTTGACCATTGTTTCCAGCAGTAGTCAGCCAGCATTGTAGTTGACTATTGCTTCCAGCAGCAGTCAGCCAGCATTGTAGTTGACCATTGTTTCCAGCAGTAGTCAGTCAGCATTGTAGTGGACCATTGTGACCAGCAGTAGTCAGCCAGCATTTTAGTGGACCATTGTGTCCAGCAGTAATCAGCCAGCACTGTAGTGGACCATTGTGTCCAGCAGTAGGCAGACAGCATTGGAGTGGCCGTCAGCCAGTGGACGATATTTCCTGGTATCGTTGTTCCATCGTTGCGATATCTTGATGAAAACGTTCGCGATGTTCATCCCTATCCATAGCGCAGTTGTCAGGGAAGAAATCCAGATGGGAATGAAGGAAGTGGATCTTTAGAGACATATTGCAACCAAGTTTCTGATACTGTACAGCATGTCTTCTACTAGTTTCTTGTAGTTTTCTGCCCTAAATTTCCAGTGAAAGTTTGTAGACACCTGGCGAAAACCAATCCATGCTTGTTTCGCGTCACCTTGGAAAATGTTGTTAAACTTGTTATCTTTAAAGTGCTATCGAATCTGAGGACCCACACAATCACCCACTTTAATATATACTTCGCTGAATCGAGTGAATTTTTCATGCATAAATCGGAAAGCTGGCGAAGTCCATGACTTTTGCGAAGTTCTTCATCAAGCCTAGTTTGTTGAGAAGGGGTAGTAGCGGGGTATTTTGAGCCTCGACCAGGGCTAGGTGGTAGATATTCTGATCTCCAACTGCTAAATTTTGTCTGCGAGTTCATTTCTTCAGCAAGAAGTGCAGTTCCCTAGTTCGGCCATCCCATTCACATAAGAAACAATTTCTAGTAACAGTATGGAACGTCGTGGTGAAGGTCTACATAGGTGGAGAAGAGCTCAACATTCTGTTTCTTGCTTTTATCCTGTAGATTTTTGGGGAACGAACATCATTTCACTAGTTCCACGTTCTTAACAGAAACCACATCGACTTTCTGGGAGAAGACCCTTCTCAAGATGCGTACCAAGGCGATTTATCAAGGTTCTATCGAGGCCCAGAACGTTATTTGTCTTCTCGTGAGTGGCAATGTTCCGGGTAAGGACTCAATCCCAGCTGAAATAAACAAAATTGGAAGATTTCAAACATAAATCTATTTTTCATCCATGCAAACGCAATGGGAATCGTCAATCTCGTGACAAATACCGTGGCATATCATTTCTCTCAACTGAAGGCAAGATTTTAGAAAATTTAGAATTGTGTTAACACAATGATGCGCAAATGCCACTGTCCAATTTTTTTTTAATTACCGGTTTGAGAAAACAATATCCCCAGACCGTATTTACCCTAGAGTTTAAAATCCCCTCAAAATTATAGAGTAAACTATTGACGGCGTCATTCAAATCTTTCAGCCTGTACTTTATCGATTGTGTGACGCTACCGAATGATTAAATCACGAGCATCGTAAAGATCATTAGACCCTTTAAGCCCAATCGCCTTACGTTTTCACCCGAAACTAAAGTCGACGCCAAAGAAATGTTTGGATCACCATTGGGGGGTGGGGTGGGGGGGTGGGGGGTCGTTCGACCCTTGCTGGGATCACTGGCGTTCAACCTTTTCCTATTGAAACGGTAACAAGAGAAGCTCCATAATGAAATGATTCTTTGCTATTTTTTTTTTGATTTACTCTGTCTGGTCCGGTTGATTACACACCATTGATGTGTCCAACTTGTATTTGATTCATCTACAAGATTAGTACAAACACATTGATATTCACTTACAGGCAAGGACATCATTTTAGCGCTGAGACCCTAAAGAACGTAAAAAAACAAAAACAAGAAAACAATATTGAAGGCGGGGGCAGATAGCATTAAAACAAAATAAAAAGAAAGAGAGATGAAAATTCAATGAAGTAGGGAAATCCCAGACGTACAATAATAAAACGATTGTATTGTCTGAACTGTTTACTTTAGTTACATGGTGACTGGTCAGGGAGGGATTATATCACAGAAAATTAAATGAAATGAAACTTTTTGTGTGTGTGTAGTAAGTTTCCGTTTAAGCCATCTTTGTGAAATTTTGTACTCACTCGTCTGAAAATGATGGGGACAGAGGCGATTATTTTGAATAATTTAAGAGCAATCTCACACATACATTGGGATTGATGTTTTAGAAAATTCAGATTCCCCACACCACCCCAACCCTCAATTAGGCATCGTCTCGCTGCACACCTAGTATCGTCTCGCTGCACACCTAGCATCGTCTCGCGGCACACCCAGCATCGTCTCGCGGCACATCTAGCATCGTCTGGCGGCACACCCAGCATCGTCTGGCGGCCCACTAGTGGTTATTAAAAGTTAGTCTTCTGTTGTAACCATAGATAACTAAGCAGTTCATCTCAGTCAAACATATCGCGCCACGGCATAATTTATTCAAATCGGTTCATTGAATGCTACCATAATGTTAGAACTGAAAGGAACAAAATTAATTTCAAAAAAGAAACACTTTATATAGGGTAAATATAGTAACACATATTATTCCTCTTAAAAATTATATAAACATTAGTAATATTGTTGTTTACCAATCTTGTCCAAAGCTATGTGAAAGACTTGATTTTTATTTGATCAGTTTGTTAAATGACAACGCCAGGGGTGTTTAAAACTAGACCGCAAAAAAAAAAAAAAGCTCCACAATAAGTGCACAAAGAGATGCATCCGTAAATTCTTGGCTTCGATAAGTTGATCATAGGTCAGAGTTCATTAGAATGCTCATCAAACTAAAAATACCGAAAACTTAAATTTGACAAATTTGATAAATTGTCCCCTTCATTTTCTGTTAGCTTCTTCAATGTCCAGCATTTAAAATAAAATATCCCTCCATGATATAACAGTTTAAGCAATAAATGCCTGCTTAGGGAAAATATGCACATAACAATTATCAGGAGAAAAACAAGGTGTCACAAAGGTAGACGATCAAAATGTTACAAGGTGGCATCAATGCAGAGGATGAAAATGTTACAAGGTGGCATCAATGCAAAGGATGAAAATGTTACAAGGTGGCATCAATGCAGAGGATGAAAATGTTACAAGGTGGCATCAATGCAGAGGATGAAAATGTTACAAGGTGGCATCAATGCAGAGGATGAAAATGTTACAAGGTGGCATCAATGCAGAGAATGAAAATGTTACAAGGTGGCATCAATGCAGAGGATGAAAATGTTACAAGGTGGCATCAACGCAGAGGATGAAAATGTTACAAGGTGGCATCAACGCAAAGGATGAAAATGTTACAAGGTGGCATCAATGAAAATGTTACAAGGTGGCATCAATGCAGAGGATGAAAATGTTACAAGGTGGCATCAACGCAGAGGATGAAAATGTTACAAGGTGGCATCAACGCAAAGGATGAAAATGTTACAAGGTGGCATCAATGCAGAGGATGAAAATGTTACAAGGTGGCATCAATTCAGAGGATGAAAATGTTACAAGGTGGCATCAATGCAGAGGATGAAAATGTTACAAGGTGGCATCAATGCAGAGGATGAAAATGTTACTAGGTGGCATCAACGCAGAGGATCAAAATGTTACAAGGTGGCATCAATGCAGAGGATCAAAATGTTACAAGGTGGCATCAATGCAGAGGATGAAAATGTTACAAGGTGGCATCAATGCAGAGGATGAAAATGTTACAAGGTGGCATCAATGCAGAGGATGAAAATGTTACAAGGTGGCATCAATGCAGAGGATGAAAATGTTACAAGGTGGCATCAACGCAGAGGATGAAAATGTTACAAGGTGGCATCAACGCAAAGGATGAAAATGTTACAAGGTGGCATCAATGCAGAGGATGAAAATGTTACAAGGTGGCATCAATTCAGAGGATGAAAATGTTACAAGGTGGCATCAATGCAGAGGATGAAAATGTTACAAGGTGGCATCAATGCAGAGGATGAAAATGTTACTAGGTGGCATCAACGCAGAGGATCAAAATGTTACAAGGTGGCATCAATGCAGAGGATGAAAATGTTACAAGGTGGCATCAACGCAGAGGATGAAAATGGTACAAGGTGGCATCAACTCAAAGGATCAAAATGTTACAAGGGGGCATCAACGCAAAGGATCAAAATGTTACAAGGTGGCATCAACGCAGAGGATGAAAATGTTACAAGGTGGCATCAACGCAAAGGATCAAAATGTTACAAGGTGGCATCAACGCAGAGGATGAAAATGTTACAAGGTGGTATCAATGCAGAGGATGAAAATGTTACAAGGTGGCATCAACGCAGAGGATCAAAATGTTACAAGGTGGCATCAACGCAGAGGATGAAAATGTTACAAGGTGGTATCAACGCAGAGGATGAAAATGTTACAAGGTGGCATCAACGCAAAGGATCAAAATGTTACAAGGTGGCATCAACGCAAAGGATCAAAATGTTACAAGGTGGCATCAACGCAAAGGATCAAAATGTTACAAGGTGGCATCAACGCAAAAGATCAAAATGTTACAAGGTGGCATCAACGCAAAGGATCAAAATGTTACAAGGGGGCATCAACGCAGAGGCTCAAAGAGTTATATCGACTTAATCAAGAAAATGCCTTGAATGATTTAAAAAAAAACAATTTAAATAAAAAACGAACAATGAAATAAAAAACCTTATGAGCAGAGAGGATATCAGAATAAGTTTGGAATATTTTCATCGGAAATCTTCGAAATTGAAAATTCTATACAAAAAAAAAAATCACATTTATCATATCCTGTTTAATGGAAGTTAAGGTAATAGCGTGTCACATCGGCGTGGACAAGTTCAGTGATTTTATAACTCTTGTCTCCATGTTAAAGTTAATACACACTGGCATGCCTCTATAACTCTTGTCTCCATGTTAAAGTTGATACACACTGGCATGCCTCTATAACTCTTGTCTCCATGTTAAAGTTGATACACACTGGCATGCCTCTATAACTCTTGTCTCCATGTTAAAGTTGATACACACTGGCATGCCTCTATAACTCTTGTCTCCATGTTAAAGTTGATACATGCTGGCATACCTCGGTAGTCTATGTCTGTTTGTACAGCATTGTTTCTACAAATAGTGATACATCTTGACCAGACATAACACACAGTAGGGAGAGTTTTCAAATGATTAAACTTGGATTTTTTATATTTTTTTTTACTTTATAACAATTAGATGGCGTAGGAATCTGAATGAATTCTCGAGTAAATAATATGCTACTATCGCTACAGAAACGACCAGAGGTAGATACATACTTTGGTGTTTGTGTGTGTGGGGGCATGGAGCAGAGTGGCGTAACCATCTCACCATGGCCCCCACAGCAACTTATACACGGGCTCGCCAGTCCAAAACCAATTAATTAAACCAGTAAACGCTCTGTTTACCCTTATTGTTATT